ATCGCTCAAGGAGTTCACTTCGACCCCAAGAAAATCGAAGCCGTACGTACGTGGAAGACACCCAAGAACGTGAAGGAGTTACAGCAGTTCCTAGGCTTCGCTAACTACTACAACAGGTTTGTGCCACAATACGCGAAGATCACCGTGCCACTCACGAATCTGCTGAAGAAGAATACGCCCAAAAAGTGGGAGATGAAACACCAGGAAGCCGTGGAGCAACTGAAACAAGCACTCACGTCCGCACCCGTACTCATCTTGCCAGACCCCGAACGCGACTACGTCATCGAAGCTGACGCCAGCGACCGGGCAGTGGGAGCAGTCTTGATGCAAGACCAGGGGAATGGACTGCAACCAATTGCCTACCTCAGCAAAAAACTACATGGAGCAGAACTCAACTACCCGATACACGACAAGGAGGCCCTTGCTATCATCATTGCCTTCAAAACGTGGAGATGTTATCTCGAAGGACGCAAAACAACAATCTACACCGACCATTGCAGCCTAAAGTATTTGAAGACGCAACCAAGCCTCTCCAGGCGGCAAGTCCGTTGGATTGACTTCCTCGAGACGCACTTCCACTACGACATCGTGTACAAGCCTGGCCACAAAAACAGAGCAGATGCGCTTAGCCGGCCTGCATACGTTGCCGCTATCCAAGTTGAAGGGATGAATCCAATCCTCAAGGGACTCTTCACACACGGGTACACCATCGACCCTGAAATTCCCTTGGCAGTAAATTGACATCTGCTACAGTGCCACAACGACATCGCGTACCGGAAAGGATCAACGAAGATCTGGGTACCTAATTATCCTCCATTGTGCCAGTTACTACTCAAAGAACACCATGACGTCCTGTACACAGGACACTTCGGTAGCAACAAGACGCTCACCGGTATCGCCAAACACTACTACTGGCCCCACATGGCACATGACGTACAGAAGTTCACCAGTAAATTATGGAAAGAACTAATGTCTCTACTCGGGACCAAACTCGCCATGTCCTCCACCTACCATCCGCAGACAGATGGACAGATCGAGCGCCTCAACCAAATTGTGGAGCAACTCCTCCGCGCAGCCTGCAAGGACGACATCTCCAAATGGGACTTGCATCTGCCCGTTCTGGAGTTTGCCTACAACAATGCTACTCACGCCGCTACTGGACAGATGCCGTTCTTCCTTTATTACGGACGCCACCCACTCACACCTCAACAACCAAACATACCAGCCACAGTCCAACCCGCTCATAATTTCATCACGACTATGCACAAACTTTGGGATCGGACCCACAAGCGCCTTCTCGACATTCAACAACAACAGAAGCGCCAGACCGATCGCCACCACACAGACCACACCATCACCGTGGGAGATCGAGTACTACTCGACACGCGCAATCTTGACATCAGCCATCTCCCATCTAAACTGCGACCTCGCTTCTGTGGGCCTTTTCTCGTTGAAGCACATGTCACCCCTGTTACCTTCCGCTTACGCCTACCAGCTACCTGGAAGATTCACAATGCCTTCCATGTCCAACTTCTGAAGCCCTATCGGGATCCCAACACGATCTTTGTCGGACGCCAACCGCTGCCGCCGCCGCCCGTCCTCGTCCACGATGAACCCGAGTACGAGGTCGAGTCCGTGCTTGCCCACCGCCGTCGTCGGAATGGCATTGTGGAGCTTCTTATTCGTTGGAAGGGTTATGATCCTTCTGAGGACAGCTGGGTACCTGAGTCCGACATGGGTAACGCCCGTCGTCCTCTGCATGACTACCTTGTCAAGCAGGGTGTTACTTCTACCATCCAGCTTTGAGGGGGGGAAGTGTGAGAGTACGACCCCGTTACACCACTTGTTCCTTTCCTTATTTCCTTTCTATTACATTCCTCTTTTTCTCTCATCTCATTTGGTTTCCTATTCTCCCCTTTCCATTATCCTTTGGTTTATCCTGTTATTATCATTTTATCACCGACCACGCTCGGGATGTACTGGTAGGCTATGTCTAGGGTAATCCTGCTGTAATCCCTTAAAGCCAATAGCCTCGCGTGGCTATACGCAGGGTGATTCTATTTTCTAGAAGGGTCTATTCCCTTGGGATAGGATAAACCTGGTTACCTGATGTACTTTGGAAGTATAAAAGCGCCTTGTATCAATCGATAGTGCAACCTTTCCTCGACACATTCGATCCTGTAACAGAACTGCTGGATGCTTCCATCGCTCTTTGTCTTGACGCGGAAGACCCATTTTCCTGACAGCATCGTTTTCTCTTGGTCTGAGAGATGGGGATTAGCTTTTAGGTGTAGCATTCGTGCAGCGCCACGAACTCATTGGCCATTGCCTCCCGCCATTTCTCCCTATTGGTTCTTCGATTAGCGGTGACGACGAATGGTGCATGGCTACTATCAGGCGGAGGATCTGCAGTCTAGTTGTAGTGTAGTGGGGAAGTGTCGGATCCTTGGGATAAGCTGCTTCATCGCCTGCGTCGGTGTCAGGTATGAAACTTGGTCCTACTCATTCTGAAACATTGGTGTCGGTGCTGTGGGGTGTTACGTAACCAGTGTCGGTGAAGTGGTAGTAGGCTTCGGCATTTGAGCTTTCGCGTGGGTTGTCATCATCCATATGTATGTTGACGGGACTGTAGGGAAGTGGTCCTGCAGCTGCTGACGCGTTGGGGATGTTCTGCTCCTCCAAGTCAGCTTCTTCGTCGGTCGAAGCAAACACGCGTGCTCCAGCGAAGCCACTGTACGGGTCTTGATTGGTTGCAATGTTCTCCAGGTAATATTTGAGCATGAGGTTCTCGTAGAAAAACACGGCACGTGCTGGTATTGTTGCCTTATCTTTGACATTGAAGATTTTTCAAGCTTCGTAGTGTTTTTCGATGCCGATATGTAGTCCCCATCTAGCACTTTGCGAAAAGCGTCCAGCTCGTGCATTGTGTGGACGGTACTGTAACATGCAGCCGAATACTCGTAACAATTTTGTGCTGCCCTGCTTTCCTTTCCATAGCAGATGCGGTGATGCGCTGTTTGGCAGGGAGCTTGACGACAAAAGATTCTGCAGCATGACGACGTAATTCATTGCCTCCGGCCACTGCGAGTTGGGCAGTCCAATCCTAGTCAGCAGCTTTTGCATGGTATTCTAGAGGGTTCGGTTCATCCTCTCTGCCACACCATTTTGTTGGTGAGCGTAGGGGAGAGTGATGAGTCTTTTGATTCCCCTTTCAACGAGGTAGTCTCTGAATCGCTGTAACTGATATTCCATCGCCCCGTGTGACTGAAAGCTTTTTAGCTTCGTGTCTCCCTCCCTCTCTGCTGCAGCAAGCCATGTGAAGAAGGCGGATAAGGCGAGGTCGCGTGACAGCATGTTAAGGTGCCAAGTATATCTGGTTGCAGCATCGACGAAGGTGATGACATATTTGAGATCGGCCCGGCCAATTTCTCGCGGGATGTAGAGGATGTCGCTGTAGATTTTTTCGAGTGGGGCGTACTCTGGTGTGCTGGGGTCGTGATGTGTCGGGAACGGTTGACGAGGAAGATTCGCTTCTTGGCAGATGAAGTAGGTACGTCGAGGTCGTCGAAGTTCACGTACATCGAGTAAGAGAAGTACATCTTTGTGGACGACGTTTGCTCTAATAGTGTCGAAGAGTTTGGAGTTTCCAGGATGCCCTAACCTTTGATGCCAAGTTTCTTTGCTTGCTTTATATCCCACATATCTGTGGTACAGACCCGAGTTGGCGTAGTAGGCAAAGACAGTCGCGGTGCTTTGATGGTGCTTGCACGGATGTGCTTTAAGTTGTTCGGCGTCTGTCGGTGGTGGTTCTTCAACGGGTTTCGGTTCAGGCAGAATATCTTCGACAAGTGGTGAGGACGAAGGTTCCGCGATTGGGCTTCCAGGAAGTTGGCTGCTCTGTCCTTGTCGTTCTTGTTCCGTTGTTTCCTGTTCCTCTTCTCCTTGTTCTTCTGCTTCCTGCATTACTGCTTATGCTCGGGTGCTCTCTGCTTCAGGTATTGTGTTGGAGTACCAGAAACCATCGCAATCGAAACCAGGGTCAAGATCCAGCGGGTGTGTCCAGGGCGCAAAGGAGACGACGCCGTCATTGTCAGCGGTTCCGCGGTCCGGAACGAAGTCCAAGACGAAGACTCATTGCTTCTGGATGGCTCTGCCGATGAATAGGCCGCCCTTCCAGTGGTAGAGCCGGAAATCTCGGTCGAAGCTGTCGCACTCCAGGTGAATTCCTTTTGGCATTAATTGGCTGATGCTTAGGAGGTTGTAGCCGGGGTTGTCAATGTTAGGATTAAGGACGGAGTCTAGGTGAACTTAGGAGCTAGAATTACTCAAAATATAAATCCGAAATTCTGGACAGAAAAGTCGTCTTCACAAGAAACGACGTCGACAAACAACTAGCCGTTGGAATGTCGCGAAACTTGGATATGTTGTAGCTCTTAATCTCAGCTACCGTTCCCAATTTGAATCATGTTGATTGATAAAGTATTCGCGACGCTATGGCTTTCGACGCACTAGGGGGTAAGCTGTAGGAGGAGAACTTAACTCAATCTCAAAGGTTCAATCAAAGTTCAAGAATCTCACAAGGAATTAGAGGAGCAAGAGAAAGGTTGGGATAGAAGAGAGGGATGAGAGGGAAGGTCCCAAGAGAGTCCCCAACCAAGGAAACCCCATAAGCACAAAGATTCCCTCCCTATAGGAACCCCAACTTTGACATTTGTCCCTTCCCAACCAATCCATCCAAGTTGGCCACCCTTGCCAACCTAGCTTGGTTGTTCCCAACCAATTTGCAGCTGTTACAGTAGAGTGACGAATTTCCCCAACCCCAAAGGTCCCAACTCCATATAAAGTCACCCCACAACTTCACTTTGTAACCGCCGCAATTGTAACGCAAGCTCATGAACTTTGAATCTTCATAGCTTTCGCGTTCTTGCTCCGATTGACGCGATTCTTGTTGCGTCGGAAAGATCTTCTCAAGATCTATCATCACAAATACCTGCTCAGACAGAATAACACAAAACACATTCCCAAACTCCAGAACACACCACACACAAATTCTTTCACACACAGTCAAACCATACGTGCGAATTGAAACAAGGGATGAGAGGCAGACAGAATGTGATAGCATATGATGACATCACACAACAATCTCCCCCTCTGGCTGCCAACCATCATCGACCATACCACATCTCAAGCATGCATACTCAATGCACACTCATCCCAGCAAGCTTCATGCCCTTCCAATGATCCGCCTCCGCAAGACGCTTAGTGAAAATATCTGCTGCCTGCTGATGGGTCTTCACTATCTCCAGCCGCACCTCCTTATCAAGGATTCTCCTCACCCAATGCCACTTAGGCCTTATGTGTTTTGTCAGCCCATGCAGACAAGCATTCTTGGCGAGCTTCACAGCGGACTCATTGTCACAAAACACAACTGTCGGCTTCTCCTGACCAACTCCCAACTCCTCCAACAAACGCCTTAGCCACACTACTTCCTTGGCCCCATGGTGTAAGGCCATGTACTCAGTCTCACATGAGGACAATCCCACCTCATTCTGCTTCTTGCTGCGCCAGCTCACAGCACCACCTCCTAGCAAGCACACATAACCCCCAATGCTGGTGCCATCCGCTTTCACTGAGTTGAAGCTAGCGTCAGTATAGCAACTCAAGAGCATCTCTCCACTCTTCACATCTGCAGCACCTCTCTGCAACCGCTGCCTCACTCCACTGTACTCCAATCCCACTGATGCCGTAGCGCTCACATAGCGGACCAACCTCTTGGCCGCTTCCAGCTGCTCATGACTAGGGCGTGAGACCACACTAGCCAATCGTGATGTAGCAAATGCAATGTCAGGCCGTGTATGATTTGCAGCATAATTCAGCGACCCAACCATCGAATGAAACAGCTTCCTGTCACTATCACCCACTACCTCCTCATCAGCACATGGCTCCACAGTAAACCCTGAAGGTAGTGGTGTTGCTGGCTTTCCCCCATCTTGCAGCCCATACTTCTCAGCCAGCCCCTCACAGTACTTCCTCTGGTGCAACCTCAGCACACCCTTTTCCACATCTCTCTCCACGTGCATCCCCAAGTAGTACTTCACCTCACCCATCTTGGAGCACTTGAACTGCATCTCCAGCATCTGCTCTGCGCTGTCCAGCAAAGCAGTTGATGCAGAAAAGAGAAGGATATCATCCACATACACCAAGAGCATGAGGATTTCATCCTTCTCCTGCAGCAGGAACAGGCTGGGGTCACACTCACTCTTCTTGAAACCCCCAGCCAACAGCGCCTCCTCCAACTTGTGATACCATGCACGAGGCGCCTGCTTAAGGCCATAGATGGCCTTCTTCAGCCTGCAGACCCTGCCGCTCCCGTCATCCAGCCCCTCTGGCTGCTTCATGTACACCTCCTCCATAATGATCCCATTCAGAAAAGCAGTCACAATGTCCATCTGCCGTATCTTCCATCCCAGGAGTGCAGCTATCGCTAACAGCACCCTCAGTGTTGTTCCTTTCCCCACAGGAGCAAACACCTCATCATAGTCCTTCCCTTTTGTCTGCTGAAACCCCCTTGCCACAAGCCTGGACTTGTAGCGGGTCAGCTCCCCTTCAGGTCCATACTTGTGCCTGTAGATCATCTTGGAAGTGATTGCCTTCTTTCCAGGAGGCAAGTCACACAGGTCCCATGTCTCGTTCTCAATTAGGGACCCGAACTCCTCATCCTCACTCGCCTTCCACTTCTCCCCATTTGGTCCATTCAAAGCCTCCTCTCGAGTCTTGGGCTCAGGGATTGGTGCCCAGTAGCAGTGAGCGATCTCATCTTCCTCAATCTGCTCAACCACACTCCCAGCCTGCACCACATTTGGCTTGCCTCTTCCCCCATAGGTCAGCCTCACTGGAGGGCGCACATCCCTCCTAGGACGCTCAGGCGGGTGTGGAACTCGAGGTGGAGACTCATGCTGCTGCTGCTGCTGCTCTACTTCAGCTGCTCCCCCTTCCTCAGTCACCCCAGACATCTCCTCCTCTGACACTGCAACCTCCACCTGTCTTGAAGGGTGCTGCACCTCATCTGCCTCCACAATGAGCGGTGTAGATGGAAGCTTCTGTTGCTGCTGCTTCCATTCCTTGTAGTACAGGGACTCAAGAAACTTCACATCCCTTGACACTGTCAACTTCTGGGTGGTCAAGTCCCATAGCAGCCACCCCTTGTGATCCTTTGCAATCCCCAAGTGCACACCCCATCTTCCAGAAGCCTCCAACTTCCCTCTTTTCTCCTTAGGCACATGAAACACTACCATGCACCCAAATGCCCTCAGCATATTCACAGCTGGAGCACTCCCATACCACTTGGTATATGGGATCCACTCCTTATCCCCAACTGTAGCCAGCACTCTATTCTTCACAAGGGCGACCTGCCTCAGTGCAGACACCCAAAACGGATCAGGTAGCCCTGCACGCCCAAGGAGAGTGCGTGCCCCCTCCTGCAGGGTCCTGTTGAACCTCTCAGCCACGCCATTCTGCTGCGGGTTGTAGGGCACTGTCAGTTGATGCTGGATCCCCTTCCTCTTCAACTCCCCCTCAAAATCAGCTCCAATGAACTCCCCACCATTGTCACTGCGGATCACCTTCACCTTGTGTCCACATTCCCTCTGAGCTCTCGGCATCCACTCCTTAAGGACAGCCGCTGCCACCTCCCCCTTGCTCTTCAAAGGGTAAACCCACACTGCCCGAGTGTGGTCATCCACAATTGTCAAGAAATAGCGGCTGCCTGAGAGGGAAGGGGCTCTTGTGGGCCCCACCACATCCATGTGCACAAGTGCAAGTGGGGTCTTGGCTGGTCCTGTAGTGCTGTTGAAGGGGAACTTGGAGAACTTGGTCTCCAAGCATGTAGGGCAGCTCCCAATCTCCTTCAATCCCCCCTTTACCTCCAATCCTTTCAGGCTCCCATCCTTCACCAACTTCTGCAGCATAGGGAAGTTCACATGACGCAGCCTCTCATGCCATGTCTCCCAATCGGCCTCTCCACTCCTTGATGAAGCCTTAGCCCATGCCGCACTCGCATCCACACCAGCAAGCACCTCACCATGTGTCTGCTGCTGCTGCACTTTCTTGACTGCTTCCAGGACCCCATCAGTTGGTGCAGTTGCATCTCCTCCTGCTGTTGCCTTTGCCGCTGCTGCCGTTGCTGCTGTTGGAGTCTTCCCATTCCATGGGATGATGGGCAGCTGCCACAGGTCCTTGATGCAGCTGGTCTCCTCTTCCAGACTCCACAGCACCTTCTTCCCAAGCTTAGCACGGCAGCTGGTTGGTCCAAAGGTCACTTCGGCCTTGCTCTTCTGCAGTCGTCGCACAGAGAGAAGGTTAGCAGACAAGCCTTCAACCAGCAGAACATTCCCAAGCCCCACAAGCTCCCCATTAGCTCCCTTAACCTTGGCATTCCCAACACCAATCACGGGGAGCAAAGCACCTGACGCTGCTGCCACATACTTAATCTTCCCAGGGGGTTTTACCTCATCAAGCAAATCTGCCCGTGGAGTCATGTGACTGGTGCAACCCGAATCAATCACCCAGTGCGTGAGAGGGTGCATCACAACCTTTCCGACAGATCCCACATCACCCTCATGCCCATGCACATCCTCAACCATGAGATACATCCCAGGATAGGCGTTACCTTGTGCACCTTCACCTTGTGCACCTGAGCCTTGCACAGCGCCACCTTGTGCGCGTTCACCACTTGGCGGCTTCATGCCTGGAGGTGACCATCCCTCCAGCCTGCTGAAGCACTTGAACCAAGGATGCCCGACCTTCTTGCAGTACCAGCAGGTGCCCTCCATTCTGGTACTCCCCCTGCCACTGGAGCTCCCATGCCCCTCATTATAGTCACCTCGGCCTCTACCTCTGCCAAAGCTTCTCCCACGGCCTCGGCCTCTCCAACCCCCTCTTCCTCTGCTGCGCCCTGCAGCTCCATACCCCTCAGCAGTCTTAGTGGCAGCACCGCCTCCCACATGGCGTCTGCGGAAGTCCTCCTGCAGAATCTGCTGCCTTAGCCACTCAGGTGTCCATTGATCTTGCTGAGAGTTGAGGGTGGGGATGAGGTTGTCCCAAGAGTTGTCCAACACCGAGATGATCTTGGTGCACTGCTGCAGCTGAGATACACTGCTGCCCGCTGCTGCCATCCTTGCATAGGTGTCCTTGATCTTGTCAAGGACCGGCTTCACATCGTCCCCTGGTCGCATGGAGATGGCAGCAAGTTCCTTCTCGAGCACGATCACCATCAGGAGAGTGTTGGGCTGAACCACATCACGTAGTAGTTTCCACGCCCTTGGACCCGAATCATCCGCTTCCACAAGATCCTTGATGTGCTCGAACATCTCCTTGTTGACCGATTGAAGGATGAGGTCGAAAAGCACCGTGCTTTTCTCAATCCACCGTTCACGTGCTTCGCCTTCTTCCGGCATCTTCTCTTCCCCAACAGCAATCTTCAGTAGCTTGTAGCGTTTGAAGGCACTCCTCATCCGTCCGCTCCATTCCTCATAGTTGGAGCCATCCAAAGCTTCAACTTTTGATGGCGGCGGCTCACTTGTCTTCTCAGCTACAGCTCCTCTTCCATTAGCATCTCCTCCTCTCTCATTCATCTTCTCCTTGAGAAATGACGAATTTCAGCCCCCCTTTGCTGTCCACACTCAGCTCCCTCGATATTTTCACAAGTGTCGGCGTCCACGAAATTTCGGCAGAGTTTCCCTTAGCGGAAGACACATCCAACCTTTAGAACACCACTTAGGCACACCCACAGGCCATGGTGGGTCTAGAAGGGTCTTCACACTTCTGTAGACTCCTCTCAACGTCCTTAATACAGCTCTGATACCACTTGTTAGGATTAAGGACGGAGTCTAGGTGAACTTAGGAGCTAGAATTACTCAAAATATAAATCCGAAATTCTGGACAGAAAAGTCGTCTTCACAAGAAACGACGTCGACAAACAACTAGCCGTTGGAATGTCGCGAAACTTGGATATGTTGTAGCTCTTAATCTCAGCTACCGTTCCCAATTTGAATCATGTTGATTGATAAAGTATTCGCGACGCTATGGCTTTCGACGCACTAGGGGGTAAGCTGTAGGAGGAGAACTTAACTCAATCTCAAAGGTTCAATCAAAGTTCAAGAATCTCACAAGGAATTAGAGGAGCAAGAGAAAGGTTGGGATAGAAGAGAGGGATGAGAGGGAAGGTCCCAAGAGAGTCCCCAACCAAGGAAACCCCATAAGCACAAAGATTCCCTCCCTATAGGAACCCCAACTTTGACATTTGTCCCTTCCCAACCAATCCATCCAAGTTGGCCACCCTTGCCAACCTAGCTTGGTTGTTCCCAACCAATTTGCAGCTGTTACAGTAGAGTGACGAATTTCCCCAACCCCAAAGGTCCCAACTCCATATAAAGTCACCCCACAACTTCACTTTGTAACCGCCGCAATTGTAACGCAAGCTCATGAACTTTGAATCTTCATAGCTTTCGCGTTCTTGCTCCGATTGACGCGATTCTTGTTGCGTCGGAAAGATCTTCTCAAGATCTATCATCACAAATACCTGCTCAGACAGAATAACACAAAACACATTCCCAAACTCCAGAACACACCACACACAAATTCTTTCACACACAGTCAAACCATACGTGCGAATTGAAACAAGGGATGAGAGGCAGACAGAATGTGATAGCATATGATGACATCACACAACAGTCAACGACGAGTACTCGTGACATTTGTATGTTCGTCTCACTGGATTGTAACTGAATGACTCCCTCCTTTCTTGTGCGCAGATTCTAGTTGTTAGCGGCAGTGATTATGACTTCGCGGCTCAACTTCTTCTCTTGATGGACAAAGCGCGTTGAAGAACACATGTGTTGTCCACAGCAGCTATCGAGGAACCATGTGTCATGGCCAGATGGTTCGTCGCGAGCGATTGCAGCTTAATTTGGGTTCGGTTGGAGCCGAGTTTGCATCGGAGTGGGGGGTTGTTCGTCGAGATTGCTGTGTGGTGGAGAGTCGGTAGCGCAGAAGTCCGTTCGGGCCATATAGCTAACGGCGTTTCTCGAGTTGTGTGCAGGGCGGTTCGTCGGAGCTGATGGGTGCACCCATCAGCTGATGGGTGCACCTGAAGAGCATGTATCAGGCAACTGACAGCGTGACACAGAGTCGCCTAAGGGCTCCACTCATGAAAATTCAGATGCAACCAGGGGAAAAGGCAATGCCTTACATTAATCGCTGCAGAGGCTTGCGCGACAAACTCTTACGAAGCGGAGGACACTTATCAGAAGACTCGTTTGTCATGGTCGTCCTCGCTGGTCTCGGTCCACAATGGTGCACGATGCACTCCCTTCTACGAGCTCATGGCCAGATCTCCGAGATGCACCTTTGTGCGGAGCTCCACGTCGAGCAGCAAGATATGGACCTGTACGAAGAAAGACATACGAAGAAACCAAGTCAGCAACTAGCGTTTTAAACGCACGGACGCAACAACAACACCACCCACAATCATAAAAAATGACACTCACCTCCGTATAATCATCGATGCCGGACGACGGGACATTCAAGCTTCAACTGTCCGAGGCAGCAACAGCGATAGCATGAACACGACCAACCACTGTTCTCACAGTATCCAACCCAAACGCCACGTCCGTCACCAAATCCGGCCGCCTGCACCGCCTGTGCCTCCCGCTCCTCCTGCACCTCCTGCCCCACCTGCTCCTCCCACACCTCCCTATCCATCGTCTCCAATTGCTAGTCGTCTCGAGGAGTGGGACAACGACTGGCAGGACGATGATGAGCTACACTGGGAAGATGTTGCCGACGGAGAGCCAGAGCCACCCCCGACACTTCCTCGTGTCATTGTTCCATCTTTCCCTCAGCCCATTCATCGTCCCCACATGCCGCGAGTTAATAGGGATGCTGCACCTCCCTTTCCCAGACATCGCAGGACCAGACGCAAGAGAGTCGCGCGCACTGCGGCGGAAAAGCTATAATGGTTGGCCCATCTCGACTCCTACCCGAAGCTCTCGAATTGCAAGCTGGCAAAGATGGCCGAGGTACAACCCTGTCAGATACGCGACTGGAAGAAGAACAAGGCGCGGCTCACGTCGGCAGCGGGATGCAGGCGTCGTCTCATCGGTGCTGGACGCAAGGCAAAGTTCCCTGACATGGAGAAGGAGATGTACAACCGCTTCCTCTCACACCGTGTGCGCGGCTTGGCAGTGTCGGTCAATTGTCTGCAGAAGTGGAGTAGGAAATTCATGCGAAAGCACCATCTCGGTGTCGACTGGCGTGCATATCTTGTTGGACCTTTCGGTTTCGCACCCGTTGGGGATTGATACGGCGCGTCAAAACAAAGATGGACGAATGCCTAACCAACGTTTTTTATAGGCGCGCTCTGTAGCAATTTCGTTTGCAGGTTTCGATTCATTGAGCTGTAAGAACTTAAGCATGTACACTCACATCGTATGTTGTCTTCTCGTTTTGCAGATTGCGAGGCTAAAGTCGAGAAGTTATGGGAGTTCGTGCGGCAGATGTGCACAGTCAACAAGTATGCCGCCGACTTGATCATCAACGCCGATCAGACGCCCTTGTTCCTGGAAATGCCCCAAGAGACTACACTAGAAGTCCGCAGTACAAGGACGGTACATGTTCGCACTGCTGGCTACAAAATGGAGCGGTTGACCGTCATCCTGCGGTCACTGCTGGCGGGAAAAAGCTCAAGCCGTATGTGATCTTCAAGCGCAAGACGCTCCCGAAGATTCGAGTCCCGCCAGGTCAGTATCGATTGGGTCTTGATGTGACTAAGTGTTACATGTACCGGAGAAACGAATACTATGTTGTCTGGTTCTTTCATTATTGCATGCAGGAATCATCATCCGTGCACAGGAGAAGGGATGGATGGATGAGGACCACGTTAAGGACTGGATTACGACGGCCCTCGTCCCCTTTCTGAAGCAACTTCCTGCACGTCGTGGCGGGCGGCAGAAGGCTCTTGTCATCCTCGACTCCTACAAAGGCCATCTGACCAAGGGGGTGGCGGCGTTGATGCGTCTCTTCAAACTCTCACGTGCCGTGATACCTGGCAGCTGCACGCCGATCGTCCAGTCATTTTTTTAACGAATTATTACATCCACCATGGGGTGTTATATACAGGGGATTTCGGTATTTGATATATATAATGGTAGGCTTGGTAGGTGTTACTGGATTCTACCATAGAGGGTACAACCCCCCGTTTTGTATCCCTCTCTCTTCTATTCCATCTCTTTTTCCTCTCGATATTTTCCTACCACCTAAAACCTCACGCCATTTCTGTGGCTTCCCTAGCTACCTAGCTTCTTTAACTCAACATTCCACCATACCAACAAAGTTGGAGCGCACGTGAGCATGTAATCGATGCGAACACAATCTGAGAGATAAAGCACCGGCATGCAGGGCTGATTTTTCATACTATTTTTGTCTGATTGTCTGTAATTTTATTCCAATTTTTTTGGCCAATCCTGATTTTTCAGACTTGCCAACTCTCGAATACTGAACCCTTCAGAGTTATGTGATTTTGAGTCCTGAGAATTTCAGACTTCGCACTTAGCGAATACTGAGTTCTCAGAGCACCGCGCGTACAGACTCTGAGATGCATACTGCACCTACCTGCCCTCAACCCAAAAAAGTGCACCTACCTGAGATGCATCTGCTAAGTTCCATACCCCCAAGGTCAAGTCCTCTCACACACCCTGCAACCTATAAAATTCGGCTAAGTCCTAGCTGTTAGAATATGAGAATGGCTAGGAGGAAGGAAAGGCCGCCATGAAAATGGCGGCGGGGTTTAGCTAGGAGAGTAGGAAAGTGTCGAGAGAAAGAGAGAGGGGACTAGGAAGAGAGAGGCATACAAGGAGGGGGTTGTACCCTCTACAGTAAGGTTCAGTAACAACTACCAAGCCTATAAATTATAACTTATATAATTTTAACACACCCCCTAGGCTTGGTAGAGTCAAGCCCACCCACACCCCACACCCCCTAACCTAGCACCCCCATTCCCAGCAAAAGCCGCGACGACTCCGGAAGTGGGCAGCTCCCATGGCCCGAGGGATGGCAATGGCGGCAGTGACGACAGCGGGGGTGGCGGCGGCGTGCGGCGGCAACAGGCCAGCGGCAACAGCGGCGGCGGCGAGGGCTTGAACGTCAGAGGCTACTGCGGCGGCCCCCGCCCTCTCGGCGGCATGGCCAGTCTCCTCGGCGATGGGGAGGGCCCTCACGAGGCAGTCGTTGGCTGTGTCAAGTAAGGGGGGGTGCAGGGGAAGGAGGGGGGAGGGGGGGGGGGGGGGGGGGGGGCGTAGTCCAGAATCACGCCCGTGGCTGCCGAGCGGGCGGCAGGTCCGGCGGTGCCACTGACGTTGCGCGGCCGGCTGTCGCCCGACGACGCCGCCACGGCAACCGTACGACGCCGACACAGCGCGGCGTCGCAGGACGTCGACGCTGCGACGGTATGCACGGTCACGACGCAGCAATGGCGGCACAGCAGGACGGGCATGGCCGCCACGGCGGCACAACACGGCATAGCCACCACGGCGGCACGGGCAGGAACAACGGACGTAGGAGAACGCGGCGGAAGCGTGGGGAGCAGGCTCGGAAACGGACGGCTCTGATACCATGTTAGAATACGAGAATGGCTAGGAAGAAGGAAAGGCCGCCATGAAAGTGGCGGCGGGGTTTAGCTAGGAGAGTAGGAAAGTGTCGAGAGAAAGAGAGAGGGGACTAGGAAGAGAGAGGCATACAGGGAGGGGATTGTACCCTCTACAGTAAGGTTCAGTAACAACTACCAAGCCTATAAATTATAACTTACATAATTTTAACACTAGCAGCCAGAGACAGTCCCCCAGCACACCCAGCAACCCATAAATTTTGTTGAAGTCCTTTTCTAGAGACACCCCTCTCACTCCCCCAACAACCCTCCGAGCAATTTTGCTAGTGGTCCGAGCGAACTTGGAGCAAGTGTGAGGCTGTGATTGGTCCTTAGGCCGAAATCACGCAAGAGTCCGAGGTACGGTAATCAGGAGCAGTTGTGAGGGGTGTGAGTCATGATTGGTCCTTGGACCAAAAATCATTATGGTTGTCCGATGTAAGCTAGAGTAGGTGTGAGGGACGTGTCACGTCAATTGTCCTCAGCGAAAATTGCGTGGAAGCTGCCAGTAGGTGGGGTTTCGGCAGTTCCTTGAAAACACAGGTTTTCCCTCGATCACACGACGAACTGATTCAGCGCGTTTCAAAACCCATGCTTGATTTTCCAGCCTTTTGAAATTTCCAGCCTGAAATTTCAGGCAAAAAAAAAAGAAAATTACCCTGACAAAAATTTCCAGCCTGGAATTGCTCAGACTCACGACTCCTATTTTTTCATCGGCGCGGACACAACAGGGCTCAAAATTGGTTTTAGGCAACTCTTAGGAATCAGAGTACAAAAAAACTTTTAACCTGACGGCTAGAGTAAAAGTTGTTCGAAGTCTGATTTGGCAGGGTAAAAAAAATCGAACTCTTACCGTATTCCCCCCTACATAACACCCGCCGGAATAGTCACTCCATGGGTGGTTTATGCGGGGTAGAGCTTATGACAGGGTGCATTTAGGAGAGCACCCGCTTTTTGAACTTTGAATTTTACATAACACCCCCCACCTTTT